AATTCAAATATTTAAATTCAAATGCATAAATAATAATGGCAACCAACAATTTAAAAGGTAAATCAGAATAATAACACTTCTATGTCTGTCAACAAACTAAAAATATAAAAGAAAACAATATATAATACTACAAAGGTACTGTGTTCTTTACCTGATAATACTCCAGATCCCTTTGCAACAGAATAGGGATTCGATCCATAATATTCCCATCCTCAATAACCTCCATTTTGAATTTAAAAAAAAGAACAGAAAAATAAAACAAAAAAAATGCAACAATAAAACCTATTTACTAAAAATAAATAAAATTTACAATTTTCACACTAAACTATGAGAACACTTATTAAATTCTACTTTATTTGACACTATTTTTGATATTTCCTCTTGTAATAATTTGTGTAGGCTTATTCCATCGTGTTTATAGACCCAATGGCCTCCGTCTTTAAGTACTAAGTCGTAACGCTTGGGTCCGGAGACTGGAGAACTGAGCCAAATCTGTTTGTTTGGTGTTTGTCTATTTATTACGTAGGTTCCGTAGTTTCCAAGTGCTACTGTTAGTACTCCGTCCTGTAATGAGAAAAAATGTCATCAATTCTAGGTTTAATTAAAGTCATTGATAGTAGTTCGACTTTGAAAAAAAATATTGTTTTATTTTTTTATATGTAAAGGACTATTGGACTATTGTTTTTTTTTTATGATGGTAAGCAAGCAGTGCCGCGCTTGGACATCTGAAACACCAGAGATGTTACAAGTGCAGTATAATATTCACAATATTTAAATTATTATTAACTCGTCGAGTACCATATTTATAGACACAATTAAAGAACTATAGGTCACCGGTGACCGCTTGGTGTTAGACAGTTTAATGACTTATCACTACATAGTATAAAACAAAGTCCCTATCTGCTGTCTGTCTGTCCCTATATATGCTTAGATCTTTAAAACTACGCAACAGATTTTGATACGGGTTTTTTCAATAGATACAAGTGATTCTTAAGGAAGGTTTATATGTATAACATATACAATACATGCACATTGCACCCGTGTGAAGCCGGGGCGGGTCGCTAGTTTATAAATTTGGTTTGGTTCTTAGCTGTCTCATTAGGGTACATGATGCCCTGTAATGATAGTTTAAAGTGTTCTTAAATATAAATAAAAAAATAAAAATATATCAAAGTTGAATTTTAATGCCTAGTGAGTAGCTGTTTTGTATTAGTGCAAACAATTATTGTATATTATTTGTATTCATATTTTGTATCGTGTGAATTGCTAACATTGCAATAAAACTACAATTAATAATACCTAACTCAGTATTTACAAGTTGTTTTTCTTACAATCAGTTAGTAACAAAAATTTTCCTTAACATAAACTACATAGAGATAAGAATATTTTATCTGTTACATGTGTCTCTCATTGTTTTGAAAAACTGATAAATTTAGAATGAAATTCACACACTTGGATAAACAATACACTCATTAAAATTGAGTTAGCAATTATTCTTTAGTTGTATTAAAACTGACTTAATGTGGGGTTTCACCTTGTGAGCTAGGTTATAATAGTTTAATAATGCGATAATAATACATTAAGAATTCAAATTATACACAATATTCTGTTTTTAGGAATACAAACAAAAGTTCTTATAAGATATTGACTGTGGAAAGTAATTAAAGAATACTTACACTAAACGTCACATCAGCTCCTTTTAGATTAGGAGATGAGTCCACAATCTCCTCGAAATATTCACATAGAGATTCTAAAGTTTCGTTGCAGATTTCTTCGAAAACTGCCTGGTCAACATCCGATATTTGGGACGATGGGGTAGACGAAAATTGGCGGTTAAACGATAAACTGGTAACTTTTGAAGATATTCGTGGATAATGGCGCAGTAATACCGGAGCTATATTATTGATTTGTCGCCGTGCCAGCCACCGGCTGGTACGTAATACGTTTCTCAGCATTTTCTTTTAGTCTAACAGCTGAAGTGAAGTGCAGTCAAAAGTTCTAGGTTACCCTGTTGTTATGTTCACTGACACTACTGACAGTGTCAGTGAGTCTGAAACTGACGTCTGACATTGACATATCAACAATGTTGTCACTTTGGAATCCGGTATTTTTAGTAACATAGTTGGCATTGAAATGAGATTTTTTAAAATGACTTAATTATAATGATAAAATCCAAGACAATCCAGGTTATTAAAATCTTTAGCCATGCCACACCGTATTGTACTAAAGAGTATAATAAGCAGACCTACTGTGCTGGCAATGAGCGCCAGCCTTACTTGTTTTTATTTACAGTTGATATAAATTGTTTAAGGGTTTCTGGAATAAAATAAACATTATTTTATTTTATTTACATTTATTTACAGAATCATAGAAAAAAATACTGTTTATGGCATATATAATGAAATAGTGTATTCTTTTTCCTTTCTTTTCTTGAAAAAGATATAATAGTGAAAAAGACTGTTCAAATTTTTGTGGGTACAAAGTGAGTAGCACTAACTTTAGTATTTTCAGACTCCACATTTTCATTAGTGCGATTCTGTATTGGTAGCATCCAAGAATTCTTTCGATAAGCAGGGGACAATATCGATATAGACGGCTCTGGAACTCTTGGTATAGGTAACAATGAATTGTATTGATTCCAATGGGCGTTTATAAAGAATATATGTCTGTTCTGTCGTTCCTGTAATGGTCTAAAGTTTCTCAAGTTTGGTTCATCCCAAGGATCCCACAGTTTCCGGAACTCACTCATCTGTCCAAAGATGTGATAAAAAAGGTTACATTAATAAACGACTGCATCCATTTCCAAAAAAAAAATTGGACAAATTCTTATACACATTAATCCCAGGGATGCTAATTGAAACACAATTAGAGCATAGCTCAGGAAGACAATAAATATGCTAATCTAATAGGAAATACCCATAAAATCCAGATATATAGGTACCTACCTAATTAGAGGTTATACGTGCTTAGTGATCTTAACCAGCGAATTTGTATTTGCATGAATGGTTGCGATGCATACACCCATGGGATAAATCGTTAGGAGTATTTTACCCACATAATATCATTAGTCCGTTGGCATACCTACACCACCGGTCATGGGTCTCTACAATAGCACGCTCATATGCTCGATTTTCAGTCCCTCGCATTCAACAATGTAACAGTGAGTACTTATAATCAGTCTTATACTCTTACATTTATCTACCTGCTCAAATGAAGCAAACAAAGTTGCCCTTGGTACCAGCCATTTGGTCACGTACGAGTCCCCTTTGACTGTTTCCAAACCACCCCAATATAGAAAATAATCTTCATAAAACATCGGCAGAAGCCGCGACATTGGAAGTGGGCCTATGCGGGTGAACTTTTGCGCCTCTTGTATTCTTTGGAATCCTTCGATCACCCAGCTCAATCTCGCATCAGGGTTGACACCGTACTGTAAATAGGGATAGGTAATGTTAGACTTATATTGTCGCAAAGAAACTATGATGATCCCACTTTTGACAAGACTGCAAACCTTTATCAAGTAGCAAATCATGGTCACGCCATCCGGATGACGTAAAGCTTCCTCTTGGGTCAAGTATTCTGAACGAAAGAAGGTTACCTGTGGATTAAAAAAAAATAGAAAAAAATTAATATAATATAGGTAATACAAATCGCCTACAAAATTTGAACCGCGGCTACGTTCGCGTGTAAAAGAGTAGGTACGTTAAAAATAGTCGTTGACTGTGTGGACCGTACTAGATCTTTTCTCAAGTTTTTATCATAAGTACCAATAACCTACCAAGTACGAAATAAAATTCATTTCTGTCAGTTCTGAAGAACTATTTATTAGAAATATTATTAACGATCTCACTCTGCGTCACTTCTAGCAAGAACGTAGGTACTAAGTTAATGACGTTAATGATACTAAAGGCCATTCGCTCCGAGCTAGTTTCATTTGCCTGAGATATAATATTCCTACTATAAGATGTCATAATAATAGCCTATGGAGAGGTGGGCAATGTCCTTTTTTGGATCATTAATCATGACTGTTTACAAATGCATCTAACAACGCAAAAAGGATCAAAATGTTTAAACAGACAAATGAGATATTGAATACCAATGACTTTTGGATTCTGCTTTGACAAAATCGTTTTATCTGGAACTGCTTTTAAAGCACCTCAAATATTTTGGTTTGTAACTGCATTTTTATCTGTAGTGCTTTGATAATGGTACCTACTAGGTATTTTTGGTAGTTAAAATTTATTAACACTAGAAGGGCCAGGCTTCTAGCTATACCTTCAAAGACCGCAGCGGTCAATTTGACGGTACTAGAGATTAAGTCAGAATACTTATGAAATTATTGCATATTTTGCATTAAAATAAAATAAAAATAATATAAATGTATTTTTTTACTAATAGTAAAAAATGCATTAAATTGAGTAACATTTGTAGCAAGTACCTAATAGTTTTTTAATCTGTTTTCTACATTTTCCACAAACAGGTTTTTTACAGATAATGCAGTTTTCACATGTTTTATTTTTTTTTACAATTACTGTTGATTTGAGATTATCGCCTCTTATTATTTTTAGTAGATGGTACACTTGTTTTAGAATTAGTTTCTTGATGCTGTGTCATAGTTGAAGTGGATTTTTATCACATACTCTTCACGTAGTACGCTCAGTAGTTGAATGATGAAATCATGACGAGAAATTTTTATTCCTAGTAACTTTTTGATAAAGAATCCACGAGGTTATAGCTACTAAATCAAGTATATTGTAAAATACATGACAGACAATACCCGACACCCAGCTCTTACGGTGTACTTGCGTACCTTTTGATCGCTGATGACAACACTAAATTTTGTTGTACGTATTGTAAAATTCAATTGTTTCAGGCAACTTTTTTTGTCAGTACCTATATTTATGTTGAGGTGCAGAGTAGGTACTCAAAATAATAACATGTATTCCTGGTTTTCCTTGATAGACAGTAAGGGTGGTATCGGTAACGGTTTTCATTATGAAGGTTTTATATCTTGTAGTATGAATACCTCTACAAATCAGTGGTATTTCTCGTCTTGCAGACCGCATTGTTCCAACAAAACTAGTCTTCGACCAAAAGTGTTTTAGCCGAATTTAGTGATGCGAAAAAGTTGTCAGAGGTTACGTTTTGGCCCTAGCTACGACGTCCCTCTTCACTGGCGTTTGGAGAAACAAAAGTCCTTTCTGTGCCGTCACTTGCTACACGACTGCTCAGCGAACGGAACCAATGCCTAATATAAAATATAAACAAGTTAGGGACTAATAAATTAGTCAGAAT